TGGTCACCAACCAGTAGATCGCGATCTACCGGTAGATCTCGGAGGCTCTAAGAGTAGCTCTTGAGCCCTCTCTGAACTGTGCACCTGCGCAGTACATTTACATTAGATTTCCTCATTTGAGGAGCAGCTACTCACTGAGCAACAGCACAGGTGAGTAGCTGCGAGAAATGGTGGGATTTTTTTTTTTAAAGTAGCAGTATAAGGGTTGGGGATAGCAAGTGATGGAGATGAGGAGAATAGAGAGGGTGGGGCTTCCAGGAAGGGTTGGGACAGTAGAGCTTGGCTTGTTCTGTCATTTAAAAAGTGATCTTGGGTGTAAAAAGGTTGGAGACCACTGGTCTAGAATGACCGTGTTTTATCTCTTTGTTTTATTACTTGCCCAGTCTTAGGACAGCCCATGAAGAGTAAGAGAATAACGGAGACCACTGGTCTAGAATGACCGTGTTTTATCTCTTTGTTTTATTACTTGCCCAGTCTTAGGACAGCCCATGAAGAGTAAGAGAATAACTAGCCCAAGTCATCAGAAGACTGAATTTAACCATGCAGGGGGTGGAAGGCTGCATAGCATTTCCTCTTGACTAGTCCATCTTCCCTTCTTTTTCTCACCCCTTCTTTTCCTCTTTCCCAGAAAGCTATGCCTGTACAGATCTCCTGTTTTCCGCACAATGGTGCTGGGTGTATTTACAAGACATGGTAGCTCAGTCACAGGGAGACGTTTTGAGATATTTAGAGAGAGGAGTTTGACTACTGACATTTCTAGAATTTCCTTCCTTTTATCCCTTGGATAGAAGTATAGTCTGAGTAGCTCAATAACAGATGTTAAAATAGTAAACAGCATCTACTTCGTAATTTCCAAATTCATTCTGTCATATACCAAGTTTGCTCTGGATTATCTTGGGAAATAGATAGTTACTACATTTACACTTAATGATTCACAAGTGTGTATAACCCCCCTGTTGTCTTTGTTTCGTTTTAGCGGCTCGACTTAATCCCTATGGTTTGTTGATTAGTTTGCACTAATTACTCCCATTTGTAAAGCCTGCAGTCTTTTCTTTGTTTATCACACCTTTAATTGCAATCTTTTGCTTGATTGTAGGCAACAGTTTGTTTATGATTTTTTTAAATGGTTACAGAAGTGTTGAAATGTTGGTTGATGTGCAATTTTACTACTATGATTTGATTTCTGGTGATGTGTACTCCCTGCAAATACTCCTATACAATTAATTTGTGCTGTTAACATTTAACAAAACAAAATTATAATCAGTGATATAGCTTATGCCAGAAAGGATCATCTACTCTGACCACCTTTTTAACACAGCCCACCAACAGCAGCCACACACTAAACTCAGCAATGGAAATGAGGTGCATCAGTGCTGGAAGCCACAGCAGTAGCACAGAAGTAATTAAATGAGGTACACCCAGATAATCTTGCCAGGGAAGGCAAAATCTCACCCTGGTCACTGCAGATTTGACCTGGGGGAAATTCCTTCCTGATCCGATATTACCAACCAGTTAGACCTGAGGCACGAAAGCAAGAACCAGCCAGCCAGGCATCTGAGACACACAGAATGCTCAGTACCACCCTGCCCGATCTACCCTGCCCAGTGTCCTATCAACTGCTGCAGCCATGCCTGATACTTCAGAGGAAGGAGACAAACCTCCCAGAATACACTAAGGATGTTAAATGGTGGTTACCTAGTTATAATTGTAATCTATAGTAAGTGCTGATGACTAGTGAGAGAACTGTAGCTAAAGACTGACCACGAGTCAACAGTGTGTGATGAGTCAACAGTGTGCCCTTGTAGCCAAGAAGGCTAATGGCATATTAGGTTGCATTAAGAGGAGCATTGCCAGCAGATCCAGAGATGTCATTATTCCCCTTTATTCGGCTCTGGTGAGGCCACATCTGGAGTATTGTGTCCAG